GTCATACCTTCATCACACCTTTTGATAACACACTGGATAAATACTTTTACAAACATTATTGATTTTATGTGAGATATGCAAGTTAGGTAATGTAAGTGTATTTTCTAACATGACAGTTATTGCCTGTATTGCTGTAATTATTTCAGCAACAAAGGTGATTTGAAACATGAATCTTGCATTGTTTGCTCTTGAATGAACTGATTGTTAAAAGTACTAAATTGAAAGAAGGTCATATACTGTTGTGTTTTGGTGATTAATTCAAATTTTCTCAATACATATCACAATGATCTTATGATTATGTGGAATGAAAATACAATGAAATCATGAAATCAGGTTTTGAAAGAATGACTAGTGGTGTTACAAGTGTGATCAGTTTAAAGTTTTGTACTAAGAGTTTTGAAAATGTACACCTTACTTGTGAAAATAGTACCAAACCAATTAAAAACAAAACTGTAAACTGTGTCAGAATTAATTCATTTTGATAATGTCAGATAACTTTGATAGAAAGGTATGTAATGAATTAGGTTAAATAGCTGTCAGTTGTTAAATTTAAGTACACAATTAAATAATACCAATTTAGGTAAACCAATTACCAAGCAATGTTTAATTTTGTTCAGTCTGTGGTGTAAAAAGGTTGCATTAGCAATTAAAGAAAAAAAAAAACACTTAAGCAAAAAATGGTCAGGTCAAAGTGCCTGAATAATTTTTGGTCCCACATTTTTATCAATTTTACTGGTAGTCCACTGTATGAAGAATTTTTGCATATAATATGTCACAGTTGACTTTATTTTGCTATCCTCACTTACATAAATGAACTATAGTGTCCTGCACCCATTATATCTGGTGTCTGAATAATTTTTGGTTTGACTGTACATCAGTTCTATGCAGTGATGCCGCCGGGTTCTCTGGGCCAGAGCTCATCTCAGATAGTCAAAAAGACAGTGGAAATGTATGCTGTGGTCAGATGAGTCCATGTTTCAGTTTGTTCTTGGGAAAACCAGACATCAAATTCCTAGTCCCAGAGACCAAAGGGACCATACAGACTTTCACCAGCGACAGATGCAAAAGCAAACGTGACAATGACATGGTATGGGTGTGCAGCAGAGCAAACGGCATAGGTAACTGGCATATGTGCGACGGTACCATTGACATGGAGGCTTATATTGGGATTGTACAGAGACATATACTGCCATCAACATGACGTCTTTCATGGGATGTCCATGGTTATTAGATCAAGACAATGCCGGCTCTCATTTTGAATGTGCTACAACAGTGTGGTTTCGTAGACACGTGGATGTGACTGACTAGCCAGCAGATATGTCTCCTATTGAAAATCTATGGCCCATCATGAAAAGGAGAATCAGACCATAATGACTACAGACTGATGAGCAGCTGAAATCTTGTATCAAGCAAGACTGGACAAAAAAATTGCATGCACTAACTTTAACAATTAGTATCCTCAATTCTCAAATTTAAATTTTAAATTTAATTAAATTTGAATTAAACATTGTAATTAATAGGACAGTTGCTGTGACTGAGTGTTAACATGCCTCTGTCCCAGCTTTTTTGGAGTTGGTCAGTGAATTAAATAAAGATTAAAGAGAATTAACAAATCACAGATTCTTTTTTTTTTTTTTGGAATTGGGGTTCCAAAAAGCGTACAATTACGTACAATTTAGACGTATTTCAACGTTTAAAACGTACAAATCGCTACGTATTTTTAACAAACGTACAAATATTTACGTATCTTTTATATCATTAAGATATTCGTATCAATGCATTTTTATCATTTTATCAATAAGCGATTTAGATTTTTAGACCCCTTAACCTACCTCCAAACCTAAACCTACCCATTTTACAGCGAATATGCATTTTTATAATTTTATTAATACGCAATTTAGATTTTTAGACCCCTTAACCTACCCCCAAACCTTAACCTACCCATTTTATAGCGAATATAAAAGGATATAAAACGCAAATGACCGAAATATGCAGGAAAATAACCATTTTAGTAACAATATAGCATTAAAATATTTTTATAGTCTCTAATCCCACTCCTACTTATAAACCTAAACATTTCTGTACAGTATAAAAAACATGACAGACAGATAAATGCAATTACAATCATTTATTTATTGCAAAAATGTCAAAAGCAGCACCAAATGTAATCCAAATGATGCGTTGCACCCGCAGTCCTCTCTGGCGGAATACAGTAGGTTTGTGTGATCCAGAGCAGAATTTATGTTGTTAATCGCTGAAAATATTATCCAGATAATTTTCCCGATCCACTCCGTGAACTCGTGAAGGCACGCGCGCATCATTCAAACACACCTCACCAGAAACACGGCATGTCGCAATCTGTGACGAATGCAGGCGAGAGCCAATGAGCGTTCGATTATCCTGCCGTAAAACCTGTCGTTTGAAGCGGCAACATTTGAATTTGTAAAGAGCGCGTCAGTCAGCGCGGGCTTTGCTGCTCACGGTCACTGGACTCGCTGCTCGGGATGGAGAAAGAAGATCGCCGAAAAAAGGCTTGGATTTGGGTCTGTTACTCACAGTCGTATGGATTCGGAAGATTTGGATTACAGCGCACTAATAAAATTGTTTCATTTCGTAATTATGTTGCGTTTTTGGTATATTTTATAGTTCTATTGCCAGTCACAGCATGTCGGAGGAAACGCCTTTTGTGGCCCATGACAATCAAAGTAAACATTACATGACAAGTAAAGGTTAAACGATTGCAGAAATGTTATTTATTTTAAGGTTTAAACTAAAGTCGTGTTTAACATTATCATATTCTTGGAAACGAGCTGGCAGCAGAAATCACACAACAAAACGAAATGTTATCATTTCATAAGTAAACAATTTAATAATGCAATTGAAAACAAGGTAATTCATATGACAACTAAAAACTAATAAAATTAATGCCGCGATTTCAATACTCATAAGGATTCATTTTTAGGTGTCGTCAATACGTAAGTATT